TAGGAAAAGTCTCAGAAAGGGCTCTTTATTAATATCTGTTGAGCAAACAGTTCCAGTGGAAGTAGCAAGTCTCTTTTGTTTTGACTGAATAATATATCATTGCGCACTAATTGTTGGTTGAGCGCGTTTGAATTTACATGCGTATGTCGTGCTTTAGTTGATGAATGACCGTGGACGTAGAACTATAGGTTAATGGTCTATTTGAATGATCAATGAGCGTTCCTTATTGCATAATAAGTTGATAACTGCTTTCTTTGTTTCACCCGGAGGAATTTCATTCATTTGGAACTGAATGAGTAAGAAATTCGGTGCACCTAGGTTTAAATTACAATCTTATTCAGAGGTTTTTTCTTGTTTATTTATCCCTTTCTCAATTTTCTTTGTTGCCTGGAGCAAACTTTTGGGCGTTGCTCAATGCATTTCGATAGTCAATACATTTAACTGATTGGTGTAGATAAAATATGTATTATGATGGTCATGCACTTGTTGAGCAAGAGTTTTGAACACTTTGGTATGAGCCCTTTTCAGCTTACAAGTGAACTAGCAGCATCAACATGGTTATATTTTGCATTCCTAGATCCTTTTGATGCTTAGGTTGCATGGGCATGGTACGGGCATGAGATATGGCTTCCCCACCCCCCCTGGGGCTATAGAAGTAAGGAATATTATGTTGTATAACAGATCTTAAATAGATAATGTTCTATGATATATGACAAACTGGAACAGTACTATATCATATCCCTGTTTATTTCGTGAAACTTTTGGTTGCTGGATGATAATTTTATATTCTCATGTCTAATAATCATATGCAAGATGGTCTTGAGGGGAATATTTGATATATGAAATTCTATTAGCTATTTAATACTTCATTAGGCTAAATGTTTCTTCATTTAATGATCATACAAACAGGAGCTTGAGGACTAAGTCAACTTGTGTGGTACAAGTTTTGAGCTTTATTTTTGGCACTTTAATGGGTAAGCTGAGCAAGAAGTTTAAGATTTATGCATGTGGGAATTAAAACACCAATTGTTAGGGCTGGCCATTTTTATGAGTTATGACAACTTGGTCCTCTTATCTTTCTGCTAAAATATTGTAATACGTTATTATTATTTTTAATCCTTAATTATGTTGCTGTTAATTAATTCTCCGATTCAATCTTCTTTTTCACTGTGACAAACCCATAGGAAGTACCAAAGTAGCAAAAGGTTATTATTTATTTCTGTATGTAAGTTAAGATGTTCTACAAATTTAGAATGATACTATTCAGTTAGTTCCCTGATTTATGTTGTTTTGTTCTCTCTAATATAATGACTAATAAACCTTTGGGAGATAACAAGTTAATCTAGTGGTGGTAGTTGATGAGAGATCCTTTTTACTGTTTTTGTTGCCTTTGTAATTGACTTGGCCATGTTTGGTAGCATTGAATTGGCAATGTGAAAATGGAATCAAAGATGGAATTCTAATTTAAGCATGATTGGTATGCAAGAGTTGCAATTCCTAAGAATCTTAATTCCACCAAAAATGCTAGAATCCAATTCTATCATATTGATCATGGAATTACTTCAATTCCCTTGAATTCAATTTGTAGACCCCACTATCCTCATCTTTTTTGTCCATTTATAACAAGATAGGTCTTTTTAATTTTAAAAAAAAGGGAAATTTAGTCTTTTCCTATTTTAAGTACATATATAAATTAATATTATATTAGAATTCCATCTTTATACCCAACACACTTTTAAAACTCAATTTTATTCCGATTCCGATTCTGATTTCATTATAAACTCTTCCGTCATATCAAACAAGGCCAATTTAAAAACTCTTCCGTCATACCAAACTCTTTCGTTATTCTCCATATCCATTAAAAAAAAAAGTTAATTGTCTGTTTATAAATGTACATTTATACTTTATCTATGCTGATGATTTCATAAACCTTGTAGGTACAATGCAAAAAATAGTAAGCAAATTGATATGCATGCATCCGCTGATATTTGTAATATATTAAGATAGGAAGAGGAAGTTCACCAAATTAGAAATAACTGCTATGTTTCTGTTTAGAAAAAGATATATACACAACGCTTAACTTGTCCCATAAGTTGATTGGATTTTATATAGTTGTAATGCTCATATAATAAGCCTTTTATACTAGCATGATTGGCGAAACCTGAAATTTAACATGCTGAAGCCATGTTAGGTCGATTGAACTGAGTTGCAGATATATGTTAAATGAGAATGGTTACTGATTTGATGCCCAGCCCGATTGCAGTCCTTCTCTTATAATTGTTTAATTAATATATGCGCATAAGTTAATCTATGGATTTCCATTAAATGTCTTGTAGGCTCTTGTCTGTTGAAGCCAGATCAAGTTTATATGATGCCATCAATTAATCCTTGATTTATTTTTTCGTAAGATGTTGAAAATATTTGAATTTTGTCAGAGGAAATGTTTGTTCCCTTCAATTCTATATATGATGTCATCAATTAATCGTTATTATTATTGTTATTATTATATTGTAAGATGTTGAAAGTATTAGAATTTTGTTAGATGAAATATTTGTTCCCTTCAATTATATAATTTAATGTCACTTTTTGCCGTGCCTTTTTATGGTTTACTTAATGATGCAAGGTCTTTCCTGTAGGTTTTGCAGAAAGCTTTGGAAGTTTGGGATCTGCAAGTCATCCCCCTGGACTCTCCAGTTGCTGAGCCTGCTCAGATTGATCCTGGACTGGAAAATGCATTTATTTGTCATTTGCAAAACCATTGGTTTTGTATACGCAAAGTGAATGGAGAATGGTATAATTTTGACAGTCTCTATGCAGCGCCACAGCACCTGTCTAAGTTCTACCTCTCAGCCTATCTTGACTCCTTGAAAGGCTTTGGATGGAGCATATTCCTGGTGAGAGGAAACTTCCCGAAAGAATTTCCAATATCCTCATCTGAAGCTTCAAATGGTTTTGGACAGTGGCTGTCACCTGAAGATGCTGAAAGGATAAATAAATCCTGCAACTCGATACAGGCTCCTCGCCAAAGAATTAACGAGTCCCAACACCATCCTGATCAATTCCTTTCATTCGGAAAGGCAGAAATGTTTTCAGACACGGAAGATGAGGATTTGAAGGCGGCAATAGCAGCTAGCCTGGTGGATCCTTCACCAGCTGTGGCCAGTGCTGAAGCCCGCATTCCTCAAAATGATAATCAAATTAGTAAAGTAGTGACAACTACCGAAGCCGATACCGCTCCAAATGATCATTGCAACAAGAGAATGAAAACTACTGAAGCTTCTTCTGATGTACATGATCTAAACAACCTAGAAGTGAGCTCTGCTGCTAGCGTCCCTCAAGATGAAAACCAGAATACTAAAGAAAATAGTGTATGAGAAAAGATTGCACCTGTTCCCTGGAAGGCTATTTTCCATCATCGAGGACATTAATATATACCAGTTTTAGTTGGTCGAAACATACATCATAGCCTCAAAATCAAGATTCTGTGCAGTATGTAAGTTTGATGGCAATGGACAACCGTACAACTTTTTCACAGGATAATGAGTTAAGCTGAATATATTATATACTTTTGTTTTTCAGTGCCATGTTGCTGCATTTTTCTGTTCTTAGAAATCATAATGCCCGAGGAACTCCAATTAGATTACTTAGGGAATTGAACAAGGAGATGGCAAGCCTTTTGTTACTAGAACCGGTGTGATTAAGGGAAGACGGGGACTGGAGAACGTTGGAGCATTGGCATGGCTGCAAGACCTTTTTTCCTTCGGCAGGATGGGTCGGCCGTCGGCCCAGTCCAGGTCCAACTAGCCGAAAAGATTTAAAATATAATGGGAGAATGGCAATAAAATTTTCTGAATTATATAAATGATGATATAGTTTCTCAAAATATTATAATTTTATTAAAATTTTTAGAGACTTTTATGTTAATAATTTTTAAAACGAAAAGATCATGTTATCCTAATTCGCAAATTATGATTTTTTATTTAATTTTTATGAACAAAAGTTGTGAGTATGGTTTTTTATTTTGAGAACTTATTATTTAATAATAAAAATTATACTTGACAAATTGTAATTTTTTATTCAATTTTTGTGATTCACAGAATAAAAGTTATTATTCTTCAAGTAAATGTTGTGATTGATATTTATTTTTTAATAACAAAAATTATATTTGACAAGTTATTTTTTATTCAACTCTTATTATTCATAAAACAAAAATTCTTATTTTTCAAGTAAATGTTATGATTGGAGCTTATTAAATGGTCTTTTTAATTTGAAATTTATTGACATAAAAGTTCTTAAAAACTTTAATGGAATTATAACAATTTAAGAGACAAAAATTATTTATATAATTCAAAGGGATTTTGTTGTAATTTTTTCAAATATAAATTTATAGTAAATTAAATAATAACTTATGAGTTGATACAATTCATCTTAAACTTCATTTAATGCATGCGAGAATTTATTTATATAGCATTCTTAAATCATAAAATGTACATCAATTTCAATATTTAAATTAATTTATGTGGTAATATCAAATAAAAAAAATACAAATTATACGTATGTTCTTAAACAAAGTATAACTATGTATTAACTACATAAAGTATACGAATGTGAAATTCGTTAACGCCGCGTCGGTTTTTTGTTTTTTTGTTTTTTAAATTTCACTTGTTTACATTTATATTATCATCACTGCATCAACTTCTCATCGTTTTTCAGAGATTCAGTTTTCAAAGTAACACTTTCCAGGTGCACCACGATTCTCTTCTTGCTTTCCTCCACCCACTGAACCTTCTCCCCATCTTCTCGCCTGACAATATTACTCGTCAAAGAATTAGTTTGTTCGTCCAAGTTCCAACGGTCTGTGTTTGTCATATTCTGGAAAATGTTTGTAGCCAACTAATGCAGATGATTTTGTTGTGATGGACAGGTGGTCTTGTTTTGCTAATTTGCAATGAGGCTTTATACTGTTCCAATACTTCACGAAATATGAGTAAGATTCATAGATAAATATCATGGGCGATATCAAATCACCGAAACCCTGAAAGAATCCTAAAACAAGAAGCCATAGCAACTAGAACATAGAGTCGATGCCAAACCGTTCTCAATTACTTCTCCATATTTTGAGGGAAAAAATTTTAGTCACCGGACGCCTATTGAAGGACTTAAAAATTCAATGAGTAAGAAACTATACAAAGACAACTGAAATTTATATCGGACAGCTCAAAATATTACCCTTTCAAGTCTAAAACACTAAAATAGGAATCACCCTGAAGTCTGCACTTTCTATGAGAAGATACCGTAATACAGGCAACTGATGATTGGGACCCTTGTTAATCGTGTTGTGGTTGTCCATGCACATCAGAGTTTCACGCTGCTACCCAAAACCACGTTCAATGAAGTCCAAGCCCATCAAACATGTAAAGTAAAGTACTTCTATTTCAGAGGCCACAAACGAGATCCTGTGGGGCATTGACCGTCACGCCTATCTCCCTTTAGCATCCCTTGGATCAATAATCATGCCAACCTGAGCTTATCAAAAGGCACAACAGTAATTCTTGCGTTCCAGAACTGAAGATAATTTGCTGGAAAGTTTGGGCCACTGACAGGACCTGGTGGGTATCCCAGTAATGAACCCTGATTTAAACCTATTTCAGAAGATCAGTTCTGCCTAGGCATGTCATAGGATGTAGAATAAAAGGGGCTGAGCTCCCTCATGTGGTTAAGGTGGATACTAAATGCTATGGGAGGTTTCGGCAATGCATTAGGTTAGCTTGCATGGCAACATTGGGTGGCTTGACAGAATGCAAGGATTGATAATCAGGAATTGGATTAACTCCTTGCTCTCTCTCAACGAGATGGGAGGGTTCACGTCGGGGGTGCCGCATGTCAAAACTCTGTGGATGGAAGTCCTGTTGAAATAGCTCCAGGGTTGCCTGATGATTGGGGATCTGAAGAAGGATTCAGTGCTTGATCAAAAAAAAGGTGGCTTTGGCTGTTGAATTGGCCTTGAAGGGGATTGCTCTCTCATTGGCTGTTGACGACTTTTGTCTTTCCAATGATGAAGCTGCGACTTTGAACCAGGAGAAAAAACTGGCCTCTGGGAACCTTGAACAGCGGTGTCTGATGCTGTAGATTGCCTAAAACTCTGTGCCTCTGACTCATTTCCTTCTTCTCTATCTGCATTGGGCTGAAGAAGATCAGAATGGTTGTCTTGAATGTGAGATTCAAATTCAGTCTTCTTCAAGAAAGACTTGAGACAATGAGGAGCAGCGCAAACAAAAATTCCTTCCATCATTTTGATGGCCTGAATCTTCTGGATTCGTTCATCACACCTGCTCCAAGGAGGAAAAAGTCGTTCTATTTATTATACTGTGATAGATATATCTCACGGACCTCAAAGCAAATTGCCGATAAAAAATGAATAAACAAAATATAATCCTTGTCCACTATTTTTTAACATTCCAAGCCACATTGTTGCAAAATGACATGTAAAAGTTTTTAAGAATGTACTATTATGAAATTAAATTGGATAAATACTTAAAAACCACATCAAATTCATGGATATAATATCAAATCAAAGATTAGTATAACAGGTAATAGAACCCAGACCCCCTTTTGCATTTATGCAGCCCATTGAACCATACAGCTTAATAGTAAAATTCCATCCTGAAATCAAAGGCATTCGAATTAGGACTCGAAAGCCAAAGCTGTTGTACATGCGGAAGACTTTGGAAGACTATCTGAGTTGAGCTGGAAACTAAAATCTTCCTAAACAAAAAGCCCGGTGTCCATTGCTTTCCTATATGAAGATCAGGAGATAAGAAATATTCTTACAGGCAGCACATTAAATCACTTCTAGCACAATCAAAGCAGAAGGCATGCTCACAAGGCTCTGCAAAGCCACAAGATGTCAGTTGTAGCAAGCCAACGTCAAATAATGTAAGAAGCATACATTCATCCCATTTACCCTCCCTGCAAAACACCCCAAACAAAGAAAGTGAAGCTGAACATTAATCATGGATACAATAATACCATTGATGAGGTGCATATCAGATTCAGAGCTATACACAAAAACTAAAACATAAAACAAATGTATTTCAGAGCTACAGATGTCCCAATGCCATTCAAAGTGTAAAACTGGTAGGTCATAAGTGTAATATCACATAGCCATATGATTATCTAGATTAAAAATACACCAAATAGATTGGCACAGGAATGCATTAAAAGTGAACCAACCATACTCTATCATAGAAAACTCAACACAGAATGAAGAGCAGGAAAAAGAAACAATGTGAAATGTTCACTTGAATGTTTTAGTTATAAAACATGTACATGAAACAGAAGTGGCGAGCCCAAACAAGCACAGGATTCTAGTAGTTTATAGATATCCCATTCATGACACTCCTGTCCCCATTTTCAATCATGCATCAATCAACTGTTAACATCAGACATACACTTCATATAGTTGTTCAAATGACAGGTCAATTTATCATACTCTCTCTAGTTCTATTTATAAATTATTTTTACCAATCTCATTAATACCAACACAACAAAAATACAAAGAATAAAATTTAGTAAAATTACAGATATAACCCTCAAAAAGTAAAACTATATAATTTTTTTTTTGTTTCTATCTCTCTTACTTTTTTAGGGCAGTTTAAATATTTCATTTACAACAAAATATCACTATCAATATAAGACTTATAAAGTGGACCACTTCACCTTTCTAGAAGGTGATCAATAAAGTGGATCGGAGGGAGTACACTTTTATGCATTGTTGACGCTAGAGAATTTGGTGTGAGTAAGAATGAGATTCTTTGTATTTACGGATATAAGCATAACACATCTCATAACACCTCAGTCTTTCCTGTGATTCAGCTGCATATTAATAGAGAGAATGAAGACAGTTTCAAATAACTATTAAGCTAGAATGCTCTATTTTTAGAATTCCATTTGCTCCCATTAATTTTTTAGAGAAGATGGAGTCTGAGAGCAGGCCAAAGAACAAAACTAGGCCTGAAGAGAGTTGAAAGGCAACCATGTTAAGTGCCGATTTTATCAATGACCATAAAGATTCTATGAAGCAAAAAGCTCAATAAAATTAAAAACATCAAAACAGGGGTGAAAATGTTAAAGTACTTACCAATCGTCCATATATAGCTATGGGGAAATCACAACGAACACAGAGATCAACTCTCTTGCCAAGCTGACGGCGGGACCTCCGTCCTAAAGTCTTAATAAGGGAAGTGGCAGTGGCTGCACCAATGCCCTCTGCTACAGGCAGGTCAGCCAGGACGAGATGGTCGGGACATGCAATTGCAGTCTCAACAGGTGAGGACCTCACCCCTGCTGAACCTTCTGAGGCTGGTAGCTTGCTAAGCCGAATTTGAAGTATATTCAATAACTACTTCCCACAACTCTCCACGTCTCTAAAGGCAAACAGAAAGACAAGTTCCTTCAAACTGCAAATATAGCTACAAAAAGGAAAAAAGATAAGCAAGTAGAAATAGAATTATTCCACGATAACCAAAGTAGCATTCTGACTGTAAGAAAATCCAGAAAATATAGTATCATCTTCCAGCAAATATTCCACGATATCCAAACTTAATCAAAGAAACAAGAAATGCTATTTCACAATAACATCTTTGAACTTTTTTTTTTACATAATGATTAAAGGACAGCAGAACACCCATCTCATTGATCTAACCAAACACCATTTCGATTGTTAGGAGACTCAACATCTTGAAAACATATCGTCCAGACTCCAGAAAATATTCCACGAGAACTATCCAACCTACGCACAGTCTCCACTGTCAAGTTATCCAAATTTCATAAACAAAAGCATCTGCATAAGCTAATTCGGTAATCATAGGAAATTCGAACAATGTGTTTAGATGTTTTATCATTTTAACATGTATTTTGGTAAGCAATACAACGCACACTAGGGGAAATAAAACCAGGAAAGCAATATCCAGTACATAGTAATAGTGCTATGTATCTCAGCGAGCGAGTGCCAAGAAAAAAAAAAAAAACAGGGGAATGGGATGCGGGAAGATTCAAAGAGGAGACCGGTTTTCCAAGCCAATGAAACGTTAAGAAAAATCTTTCACTTGCACCAAGAAGATTGGAAGACGAGTGAGATTTCTCTGCCTCGCTTGACACACCTCAAACAACGATTGCGAGAGTACTTGAAAATGACATAACACCGAAAGCGATGGATTTGGGAAATCCTTGAAATGGAGGCTGCGGTTTATTTGATTTATTTCTTCGACTTCGAGTGAAGGTTTATATATTTATAACAGAATTTTTTTCATCATTTTATTTAGTAGTGTTATACTCAGGGAGAATCGTATTAAGGGCTTTGAAAACAAAAACAAATTGCGCTACAGGTTTAATACATTCTGATATTACATTATAAGTACAAAGTCCTTGTTATAATTTTTTTTAAAAGAGAAAGTACAATTTTTTCTTGTGTGATTTAAAAATTCAAATCATGTATAACACAATATTTATGAATACACATTACAATGTTCATAAATTCTCAACACAATATGCATATGTGTTTAATTGATCAATAGGTTTAATAAAATTTACAAATGACATAGACAATATACAATATCATGTCCATGAATGTATAATATGATATTCATGTATTTTTAATTGAATGTCCATATGTGGACACGCGTGGACATTATATTAAAAATTCAAGAACGTTATGTTAAAAATCGATGAACATCGTGTTGTGTACCTAAAGACATTGTATTAGATATGCTTTGTGTGACTTATATATTTTAATTAACCTATAGATCAACTAGACACCTATAGACATCATGTTAAGAATTTATGAATATCATATTGTGCATTTATGGATATTGTGTTATGCATGCTTTGCGTGACTTGGATATTTTAATCAATTTATAAATCAACTAGACATATATGTACATTGTGGTAAGAATTCATGAACATTGTGTTGTGCATCTATGGACCTTGTGTTGTACATGCTTTATGTGACTTGTATATTTTAACATACAGATCAACTGAACACACATGGATATTGTGTTAAGAATTTATGGATATCGTATTGTGCATTATGGATGAAGGTTTTGCATAGGTTGAGTTTTCAAATCATACAAAGACAAAATTGTACTTTTATTTTGTTTGGGCTGAATATGAAACATTGTTCAAATAGATTACGAGACTAGTTAGATTGAATAATCGAAACGTCAGGCTGTTCAACCACGAACACGTTTTTAAAAAAAATTACAACAAGAGCTTTTAAGTTTACAGTAAAATATCAAAATATATTGCGACCAAAGTGTCATTTTTTTTGTGTTTTCAAGTCCTACAATACAATTCTCCCTTATACTTATCAATGCGTCAATACATGCTCCTTCCAGTCATTTTTATACGTAGCCTTTGACTACACCAAATTTGTGGAAAGGAAAGGTAGTTAGATTATTGATATTTTCTCCAAATTAAATGAATGAAATTTCTCAACTTATCCTTAATAAATGTATTATCTTTAAAGTTATTTTCTCTCTCATGTAATTTTTTGTTTTCTACTAATTAAAATGTTTGAAAGGGTAAAATTGAAAAAAAAAATTATAAAATAAATATTATTTATGAAATATTAAATATTATAGTTCACCTAAGTTTTGTGCAGGACTGCACGAATTCATATTAATTAAAGATATGCAGACAAGTATGCATAAATTTTTATGTGTGGACTCAATATATCATATCATCCATATTTTATATAATAAAAACATCCTATTTAAATTTCTTTAAATATAAATTAATTATATTATTAATGATAGTAAAGAGATAAAAAACAATAAATTAAATAGGTATTTTATTCTAAAAATAATAACACATAAAATTTTATTGGATGGAATATGAATGATGTGGTGCACAAATCTATGCAAGAATTTTTCCATAAGCTTAATCTTTGAAAAATAATCTTTTAAGATTTCATCTCATATTCAATGATATTACTTTTTTTATTTTTTTTATTGGAGTTCTTAATTTCTTATAACCTCTAAATATTTCACAATATATAATTATGTAATATTTTCCCCTTGTAATTGTAACAGACTATTGTTAATTTGGCTTGAGGTCTATTCATTCATGTACCACACAAATTAACAACCCGCTTAACAAATAAATGCATTTCTCAATTAATGGCTTGGGGGTTGTGATTACTGATTAGTGACAGTGGGCGTAAAAGTTTTTTTGTCTAGGACCATCCTCAACTGCAATTGCAAGTTTACAACACCTGAGATTGATCCCTTAATGAAAGGGCAATTTCTGAACAATGAGTAAAGTAGAGAGAAAATGACAAAAAAATTTATTTAAATTATGAAAATGATATATTAATCTCACAAAATAACATAATTTTCCTGAAGTCCTATGGAATATTTTTATCATTAAATAATTAAAAGAAATGATCAAATTACTCTCAAATAAAATAAAAATCTCAAGCCTCAATGTAAAGTCATTTTTGTGCGTTCTTGCATGTCATGTCTCACTCCACTAAACACAAGTAATTAATATAGCTCATGGTAATTAAAAACTTAACTCAAAAAGGTGATCATTAAGTTTTAATTCAAATTCAAGGGATCCCAAGTTTTCTAAATAAAATGAGTTTATATCAAACAAAATCCTTTATATCAGAGTAAAAATAAGTTTTGGAAGCATGAAATACCTCAGAGGAATGAAAGAATTCAAAAATAGTTGAAAAACAAAACTTGTGCTGTGATACTAATGCACCGCGGCTTGTGCACGCTACGCCGTGGTGTGTTAATCTTTATGCCACGTGCCGTGGCTTAGGTGGCATGCACTGTAACGTGTTACACTAAAATTTAGCAAAATTGGGGAACTTTCAATGCACCCCAATTCTCAGTCTGACGTCTGAATAACGTGATATAGGTATCAATGGAAAGCTCTTTATATGAACTAGCTAATGGCATAAGTTTCACTTCAAAAACAAGTCACACCAGGAAGTTAGACACCCAAATGTATTTTAACCACTTTTCACAACTTTCACTCAAAATTGGTGTTCAAAACCCTCAATATCTGCCAAAAGCCTTTCTTAATACCTAAACTATGTCCATTAGACTTAGGACAACCAGTACAGCATGTCATACACACTTAAACCACATTATAATAGAAATTTACTCCTCAACCCCTTTTTATCAAAAATAGAGGGGGAGGCAAATTATCATTGCATTTCACCCAAATTATTCAAAACATGGTCAAATCTTCATTTCTACATGTGCACTAGTATTTGGCCCTATAAACATATATATATATATATATATCAACATACCCAAATACTCAAGGACCAAAATATAAATCAAACATTTTTAACCATAAAATAGTGTAAGTGTGATGGCATGTAATCTAAAATTGACAAATCATATACTATTACACAAAATGAATCTAAACCAGAGGCTTATAGTAAAAATATGCTAATTCCTAACCTCCTGAGTCTTCTCCCTCTCAACGCCAGAGGTAGAGCATGAAAAGTGTTAAATGAAAGAGGTGAGTCTAGCTACTCAGTAACCAAGATAGAACTTACCCTATGCAGTTATATATCGATCATAAACCAAGTACATGCAAAGGAACCAAGTATGTAAAACATGCTCACACATATCATAACTTGTCATTTCTCATTTAACAATATCTTTATCTCATATACTTTATCTCATATATACTAGGTGCATTACCACCATATTTTCATATATGTGACCATGATCCATTATTCACACGATTTGCCACAACTTAACACGTATGACACGTCATATATTTATTTGCAATGATCAACAACCTTATACTCTCCTTATTTTCTCATATCAAAACTGTGGACTATAACACTAATTAGGGCTCCACCCATGTGACTGGATTATCCAAGCTCATTAATCATGAGGTGTGACCTAATCAAAGATTACATGACTCACTCTTGAACCACGTCTTCCCCCATTCTTGAATCTTTAGGGTGTCTCATACTCTAAACTATTCTCCTCATTGAATTGGTGGAAATAGATAGGTTTTAGTCCCTCGACAAATGTGAGACACAGCTATACCCCCATGCACTGGAGGGCAACCTAAATATCATATGAATTTTTTCTCTACTCCCAATCCCTAGGAAAACTCCTGCCACTGATCATGCCATAATAAATACTCATTCATTTTCACATTTGCATTTTTATTTACTCATTATCACAACAATCACATTAGGTTCACGACCGTGTGCTACCCAAGTATGTATTCTCATCATTTTCTCAACATTATTTTCACTTATCTCAAAATTCACTTCTTATTAATACATAATTACCTCTACACAACATCACATTCATTTTTTAAAAGCATAAGTATGTTCATAGTTCGAAAACCCTTTTAACTTCACATTTTGCATTTCAAGCCAAAAATAGCATTATACACATTCAAATTTTCATACACTTATTGAAACTAATATGAGGTTTCACATTGAAAATCAATCTCATATATATAACATTCACAATTCATATTTAACAACTAATTAACATATAACTACTTAAAATAGGGTTTTCCTGATTACATCAAACCTTTGGGAGGTCAAAAGTTGACCCTTTAATGTTATAGCTTCCAAGCTTGAATTTTTAAGTCAAGATAGATGTTCAAGAGCCAAAACTACAATCAACCAGGTTGAATTTCATCAACATTATCAACTTAAACATTAAACCCTCATTCTCTACTTCTAAATTGCTCAATGTCCACTCCATATGAGTTTGAGCCTATGAATTAGATTTATTAGTTACCTTTAATCTCTAATAACATTAATGAACCATTAAATTTCTATTAATGGCATCACAGTTTTCCAACCACCCATATTAATTGCAAATTTTAGATATTAATGGTGTCCAACAACCTTTCATTATACTAGGTTTAAATACTCTAATATACTCCCATTAATTCCATTTGAGTTAATAAATTCAAAACCATAACCTATATGAATTAAAAATCATCTTCCACAAATGAACTCTAACTATAAACTCATAAATGTGAAAGAAATAGGAAGATTAATGAGTGTGATACTTACCTTGGGTGTTTGTAGCCTTTAAAATACTCTCAATGTCATCCATAAGTAAACCCTAATAGAGTTTGGTACGTCTTTCCATTTCCTCTTTTCTCTTCTCCCTTTTTCTATTTTATTTTCGCAACTGATATCTGCAAAAAGTAACCATGTGTCGTAGTGAACGCATAATACGCCACGACATGTGGCACAGAGAGGTCCTCCCTCACATAAAAAATGTCTATATGCCACGGTGGATGATCTCCACACCGTGGCATGTGGCACAGCAACATCACTCTTCATTTTTCTTCTCCTTTTGATGACCGGGTGGCCCAACTTATTACCGAACCCATAATTTGGGCTAAAAATATACTTATTAGACCTCCCTGGCCACACATCACCTCAACTTACTTAATTACCCTAATTAAGTTTAATTAATCAGTAGATTAAAACTGGGACGTTACATTGCCTCTGCATCATCTTCTTGTTCTCCTCCTCTTCTTCATGCTCTTCTTCTGCGCTGTCTCTTTCTCCATCTCCTTATCCTTATCCTTCTCGTCTGTCTTATTTCTTTTTTGAGTTTTTGTATGTGGGTTCCTTTGTTAGATGTGTTGTATGTGGGTAAGTTTCTTCTTCTCCTTGAAAATTTCTCCTCTCATATCTGATAGTTGAAATTGATGTGGGTTAATGTGCATAAATGATTGAGGTTTTGATTGAAGTCTTCATTTTTTTGTTTTACGTGAGTATGGATGCTTACTCATGAATAAATAATAAATAATACTCCCTCCATTCAACAATGTAAGGCATTTTTTAAGGAATTGAATGTTAAAAAATATAAGACATTTTTAGTCTTTCGAGATGTAATTATTTCCTTTTTTTCAAAAGTGTCCCTATTAATAATGATTTTATATTTATTATAGGGTGTTTAATAGGAGTAAATATAAAAAAATAGGGTTAGTTTGAAAGTAGGTAACTATTTTATTGGGAGTGAGATTCAGTTAAAAATGTTTTATATTTTTAAACAGAAGGAGTATATCATTTTCAATTGTGTTATAAATGTATAAATCAAAGTTGTGAATGACCAATATAAAATTATGAATATAAAAAAAATTATTGTTGGATAAAACATAACATATATATGATTATGATGTTTAAAAAATAGACATGTTGATGAATGGTTATTTTATTGTTTCAGGTTGATGTGAGAAATGGTTGATATGTTGGGATGACACTAGAAAATCCAACCCTTCACATATTTTTGTTTTGTCAAAAGAGTTGTAAGGCATTTTGATGTAAGTTGTAGATCATATAATTAATAACAAAATCTTAAATAGTTGTTACTTTTTAAGGTTTTTTTGTCATTTAAATTAATAAAAGTTGTTATTTCTTAGATTAGAGTATCAATTCATTTTTACTGATTTAGTCAATTTACAAAGGATATTGATGAATTACAATTCCTTGTTGCGAATCTAGGGACAAAAGTTGTTAATATAGGAATAAAAGTTATAAATGAAAAGTATAAATTTTTAACATCTGACATATCAGAACTTGTATATGCGGAGTTGCGAATGACTATTAAATTATTGTGAATTTAGAAATAAAGTTGTTAATATATAATGAAAATTGTGAATAGAAAGTTATAAATTTTCAACACTTAATATATATTAGAACTTGTAGATGTAAAATTACAAATAACTATTAAATTATTACAAATTTAAAAATAAAAATTGTTAATATAAGAATAAAAGTTGTGAATGTAAAATATAATTTTTTAACACCTAATGTATATCAGAATTTATAAATCAAGACTTGTGAATAATTATTAAATTGTTATGAATTTAGAAATAATTTTTTTATTTGAATACAATGTAAAAGTGTCATTTTTTATAATTCTCTAATGACATAAACATCTCTTGAGATTTTAAAAAAATTATGTCATTTCATAAGATCAATATATCATTTAGATAATTTAAAAAAAATATTATCATTTTGCCTCAAGTAGAGTTTTACAGATTTACACGTCAAATTTAATTAATGTAGAACTACTTTATTATTTTGCGCAGAAGACTTATTCATTGACTGGGACATTTTATTTCACAGGCGTTTATGTAATTTTATTTTCTACGGGACTGAGGGTGATAACTGATAAACAATATTTTTATGGGCCGAATAACTCAATTTACATTTAAATCACATCTAAAAGTTACCATAAGTCTACGAACGCGAGGAAAGTAAAATCAAATGTGTTAAATAGTAGTAGTTTTCCTTTACTGAATTGATATTCAAATGAAATGTTTTTCAAAACTATAACTTCTATTGCGGCAATTAGTCTTGCTGGACAGGAAAGGGGGAAAAAAAAAGCACCAATAAATCCAGAATTCTTAAACTAAAATTTTAGATTTGCCCTCATGGATGAATCAATGATACAGTTTACCATGGTGATGACAACTGATGAATTGAAGCAAGCATAAAATCAGCGATTCAGAATGCAACCTCACAGAATAGATTGCAATTAAAAAATCCTTAGTACACATAGATCTAATTACTATTATTCCCGGCAGAAAAAAAAAAGAGTAAAAATCTATCCCTGACTAGATGGAGAGAATGGACCATTATTTTCTTGGGAGCACGTTCGGTGCTCATCAAGGGTGATTTCATCCTTGAACCACTTTGAAAATCTGGACGGTCCATATTAAATTATTTTTTTATTTTTAAAATAAAAATTTATAAAATTTTTAATAATTATATTTATTATTAACACATACCGTCTATATTTAATTAGATGAGTCTAAATTTAATATTAATTTGTTTATAATTTTTTATAAATTGAGGAAACAGATTTACTCTGAATGTTTTGAATCTAATAATATAACAAGTTAAAAATTTTGAATCTGAATAATACAAACTAAATCTATACGATCAATTTGTAAAAAATTATAAAAAAATTAATATTAAATTTAAACTCATCGGATTAAATATAGACGGAATATGTTAATAATAAACATATTTATTAAAAATTTCATAAATTTTTATTTAAAAATAAAAAACGTAATTTAAGCTGGACCGTCCGGTCCAGATTAAATTTGAATGGTCCAGATTTGTTCAGAGATGCTGAGCACGCAGTGCTCATCCCTCCGAATGTGCTCCCTATTTTCTCAACAATATCGATCTATTTGCTGCCAGTCCTTCTCAGATAATCCAACTTACATTTGGTCGCGTTCAGGATGACTCTATTTTTTTGGCGACCTTCTTAGCCTGGCATTAGAAGATAAGAATTAGCAAGCATAATAGTATTTGATTCGTATATTATACATACACTATTTGATAGTTTCCTACACTGTTCTCCATGCGAATTTATGCAGAATCAAGGTCACTATTTAATACAAACTCTCTTTATCTGCCACTCTATCTATTTGAGCACATAATAAAAATTATCTGTGGATTGTCACTTGAAATTAAAAGCTTCATAGATGCAAGAGCTTGACTCTAGCTGGTAGGCCTTTGATCAAGGTAAATATATCTTAAATGAAGAAAGGAAGAAGTTGCCTAAAAGATCCCTAGTCTGACCCATTTCTATTTTCAACATTTCGGCATTCATATGCCTAATACCCCAGAAAATTTCTTGGGCAAGTTACAGTTTTTCTATTCTCTACAACACGAATGGCGTATGCCAAGATAATTTAAGAGCATAACACAGTTCAAGTTTTACCTGTTCTAAGGTGAGAAACATGATCACATTCCATGATCCTAGCCGTCCGAAATTGGGGATAAACCCCTTATAAAAGGCAAGAGGTCCCTGAAAAATATTAGACTCCAATCAGATGAGAGAAATCATAAATGATACCCACTGACAATGCTGTTGCTTGTCTATCGAAATTTAATAATAGATGAAAATAACAGACCCCAGACCGTCCAAATAGAAGGAAAAGGCATATTTTGTACCACAAACGAGAATAATCAATGATATTTTGACATGGAAGTAGTGTTAACAAAGTAAAAAGTGTCATTCAAACAAACAAACTGAAGAGGGAATCGTTCAGCTGGTTTATGCTTCAGGATTATGCCTACCACATACAATGAGATATGATAAAATTCTCTGAACTCTAAGCGCTCTAAACCATCTTGATAGCCATGGGTCCACATAATTAGGGCATATACCTAAAGCAGATGGCAATGTTACCTAAGTGAATCATGTGGTGTAAGCAAAAAGAAAGCATACATCATTCTTCAAAGTTTTGACGAAACAATCAAGGGTACTTTTGTAGGTTGAATCGCCCATCATTCTGGATTTGACCTGGATATAAGAACCAGAAGTAAAGCAAAAGAAATGAATTAGTGCAATGTTAACACTGCAAGAGAAGGAGAACGGTTGGCAACGAAAATATATATAGGATTAGTCACATAATCATAACGATCAGAAGAAAGATAAGGCTATTCCCTCGTATTCATCAACCAAAACGGACTGTAACAGGCCCACTTGTTGACAAGAATCCTTATTAAGCTCTAGATGCCATTACTAATCCCACCGGTTTCTAGTAATGACTGGATTATGAGCTTATCATTATTGAACATAACAAGAGAAGCACAGAATTCATGGTGAAGGCGCAAGCGTATATATGGACACTAAGGTAAATCTATGCTAAATAAGTTATATGTATTCTTATGTGGACGACAGGGAGTTACCACATCAACTGGGGAGCCAATGCAGACAGCGAAAAATCCTGCCCCTAGCCCAGCAAGTAGATGAGTTACCACATTGTCGGTGAAGCCTGGAATTTTCAAAATGGTCTGCGGCATAAAGGAAATTTATTAGATATAGAAAATCACAAGTTAGGGAGAAAATTGGAAATTGAATCCAAAAGGCAAGAATCGAACATCTTATACATTACCTGTTTCACTTGATCATAGCTGGCTAGTTCTGCAGCATTAATAATAGCATTTCTTGCAACATTGGGGCCGAGACCGGTCCAAAGAGCCCCAATTCCTTCCTGTGTTTTAGATACATGATTGATAATAAATGTTGATGAGCTAGAAAGACTACTATATTTTTTTTCCTTTTTGAAAATCACAAGGTTAAATTTACAGACCTGTCTCACAATCGTGGAATAAGCATTTAAAGATCCAGAGTACCGTCTGGGCACACCGGGAGGTAATTTTCCTTCAGCTTGAAGTCTAACCTTTACAAGGTCGGTTGGATTTGCTATTGTAATTGCCACAGCACCTGTCAATAAGACAAGTGAAAATGCATGGAGATCGTAGTTCAAGTAATTTCCATTGTGCATGTGACATAAATAGCAACAATTCCTGCTAGAATGGGCAAAAGTCTGCATATATAGCAGCAAAGTCATTTTAATAGCACATAAATAAAATATTCCTGCAACACTGAGTACTGGACTCACCAGTGGTAAGGGCGGCAAGAATTTTCTTTGACAATGGAACATCTCCTACGAAATCCTTTCCAACATAGAAATTCTTGACCTATGGAAGAAATCTTATCATTTAAGTGTTTGGCCCGCATAAGTAAGCAGCACACATGAACTAAAAGAATTCAACAAGTCTACGTGACAAAGTTTTAAACTCACAGGCTCATATAACCCAATTCTTAAACCTCCATACACACATTGACGATGTAGTCCTGGCACAATGCCCTTCCAGAGAGCAGAAAGACCTTCTTCCCTGGCAATGGTACCAACTGTACCCAGCAAACCCCTATATTTAGGTAAGGTCACTGCTTCACCAGCGACTGCTTGTTTTTGGATCTGGAGCCTTACTTTAGCAGTGTCCAACGGGATTGTACATATCTATTCAGAATACAAGAACTGAGTGTCAATAAAAACCAGAATTGAGTAATTATCAGAGCGAAACAATATGTGAACTGAATTCACGAAAGAAAATCGGTAATTTAAAGCAAATTCCAGGTCGATCGCTCCAGTGAACAACTCTGGACGGTTTTCCATAAGCCTAATTCATATTACAGCTCCATACACTTCCACAATGCAATAGCTATCGTGGAAAGTAAATGTTCAAATTTGACAAAGTTCAAAACATATAACCAGGTAAGTCTGCAGAAGCCAGAGATTATTCAACCAGACCTTTGTCTGCCATATGTATAGTCAGCACTGATAAATGATTTCCAATCACTAGCAATCAATTTGTACCACTAAGCTAGTTCCAATATGTAAAGAAACCGCCAGGATTCAGAACTGCATGCTAATAATCAAATCAGAACAGTTAATATGATTTCTTGTTTGTCATTTATTGACCAGTAAATAAGATTTTTTTCGGTGCGTATTCAGCTAATCTACCGGAAAACTAATTTTAGCTCGAAACGTAGTCAGACAACCGGGAAGTAAGGCAAAAAAAGATGAAGCGACCAGAAACCAAGAAACCTACCAGAGTCTCTTGCACATTAGATCCATATCTTTTCAGGAATGAAAATTACAAACCAATAACAATATTAGCAACGAATTGTCTTCTACATGAATGAGGCCAAACATAATTAAAGAATACAGAAAAGGTGACAAAAAAAAAAAGGCACGCCCAGCTAAAATTAAAACAGATAGTGGCTATTAAAAATAAATAAAATAACAAAGCTAGAGGAACCAATCAAGAATTGAATTACCTCAGCAAAACATGCAGCGAAAGCACTGCTGGCAAAAGTTCCAGCGAAGGAGATATCAGATTTGGACTTGCCATCGGCAACCATGGCGTCGCAGAGACCCAAAAATGATCAAATCAAAAAGAAAACAGAGTGCTTGGTGCAGTGTAAGATACAGAGAAAATCAAAACCAATAGTGCAGATGAAAGAGGTGGGAGATCTTGGGATTGATTATTATAATGATACAGAGAAAGAAGAAGACGGGATGTGGGTGCAAGCAGGGGATTTCTTGGGAAAGCGAACAACAAAGTGAAGAAGATTGCGTAACTTTTTTTGTTTTCTAAATCGTGCAACGGCTCAGCGGCGGGCACTCTTTTTTTTTTTTTGGGTAAAAGGCGGGTACTCATTTTTGGTTCCCAAGGCCACATGCTTTTTGGTCGAAAATGCTCTATCGAGTTTTTGCGCTTAACAAAAGTTTGATCGTTGATGATTTTTTTTTTTTTTTGCCCAGTGATCGTTGATGATTATCAAGTGATTTATATAGTTTTTTATATTTTTATTAATATATTGATGATAATTTCTAGTTTCTAATTTTTAACAATTTTTTTACTTGTTAATTGATAATATACAGTTACAAGTTACCAGGTTCAATTTATTACCACAATTATATACGTCCAATTAACTAATTTTTTAACAGAATAACTTCTTAAAATTTTGGTTTGTATATTTTGTTGTGTATTTTCAGAAAGGAAAAAACTGATATGAAAATAAAAAATATATAAACTATTTTTTATTCATTTTCCCTCATTGTAGAACTTTTAAATTTTAAAGAATGAATGGGTAATTACATAATATAATAAAATAACATACTAATTTAACAAAAAATAATGTAGTAATTGATACGGATTTATTTGCATGTAGTATCAAAAATTCAAATATTGTGTATATTTTTGTTTTCCTTCTTAATTTAAATATTTTTCCTCTTAATTTTGCTGAAGGAAAATAAATAATGATGTCATTTTTGTTTTGCCTTATTTTAGAGTGATACATTAATACCACTGATAATATAACCAAATCTAATTTGTTAAAGTTAATTAACAACACTATCGTGTTACTTTAAAGTTATTGTCCAAAAAATTAAGCCATCATTGTCTAATATTAAGGTTGTTATAACTTATAAATAATACAATTGAGAAGAAAAAAGGGAAATTAGAATCAAAAAAATGAGAGCAGTAGAAAAGGCTTTCTTATATTTATTTGCAAGCATTGATTTACAACTCAAATTTAATTAAAATTTATAAATTAATTAATGATAAAGAAGATATTAAAACAATATTGAAGAGATAATGCATATCCATTTGATTTATACTCATAAAAATATTCTTATTCATTATGTCATCACTTTACATTTTGTTTGGATTTGATTTTTTTTTTTTTTGGCCCCGCACACACACAAACAAACAAAGAAAAGAAAAAGACGCATTCTAAGTTTCAAGTGATTATCCGTCACGTTTGAAACATTTGCTAAATAAAAATTATTAAAGTTCTACCAAAAAATCGCTCATATATTCAAATTGAAAAAATCGCTCATGTATTCAAATTGTTAGACTGGAAATTATGATTATAGAGATGGATAAGAATACAGTCATCTACAGATCAGTTCCTAAAGTTTTTCTTTGTTGACCAGGAGTCTACTAATGTCTGAATTGTTTATAATTTTAGTTTAAGGCAAATTAATTAAATTTTTAAACCTTTTCTCAGTGTCATACTTGGATTTCTAGAGATTTGGATTTGGACCAAATTTATTATTTAGATACATAAAATTTTATGCTGCAAATTTTTCATTACAATTCCTTTAGAATTTGAAATACTCAATTAATCTCAACCATCTTCTTTTATATCACCAAACATGGGAACAAGTTATATAAGTAGGTACAACTCATTCGTAATGGTGTAAAGTTTATATTACCTAAATAAAGAATTTTAAATACAAAAATTTTATGTGGGATTTTGAATCTAAATCCATCTATTCAAATGCTATTTTATAACAATTAAATGAGAATCTTCAAAATGAAGTTAATTTGAACAAGGAGTTGTATTAATATTTACATATTCATTCTCATGTGCACTTTTAGATGGTGCTTAATTGAATTGATGGATTTAGATTTAAATTTTATATATAAAATTTTACATTTAAAATTATTTATTTGGATGGTATGAGAAATTTTAGAAATAAGTTGAGATTCCAAATTAAAAATAAGTTTACTTTTATTTTTAAATCGGTAAGATATGAGAACAAGAATGATGAGAGAAGAGGTACAAAAAAGTTGAAGTGCTAAAATTTTAAATAATTAGAATATAAAGTTTTTGAAATTAAAGACAAATTATAATAAAAATTAAATAGATTGATAAAATTCAAATCTATAGATTTATATAGACAAGGAAATTTGACCCCAATCCAAATTTAAATCTCCATTGGTCCAAACACAACACATTTTTTGGGAAAAAATGCATCCACATTATAAGGTCTATGTGAGAATGTATAATTATTATGGAAGAATATTATTAACAAGTTTTAAAAATCTGTAGCCACTAAATTCAAACTAGTTAGTTAATCCCATGAGTTAGTCTAGATTAATTAATAACAATGATTGGCAGAAAAAAGTCATCCAAAAATAAACTGAGAAACTTTATTTGGAAGTATCAAATTCCCGCTTTAATTGTGCCATTCATACCCACCACGAAGTGGCATAGTCATTTATCAGATTCCAGTATTCCATAGAAACTCGTAAATCATGTAGCCCCCAAAAAGTGAAATATAGATTCCGGTGATATTTGCATGTTTGAAATATGGCACGCATCCATCCCCGTTCTCAGAACAAAAGTTGTGGGTAGCACGTTATCAATCTAATTCTCTTTCTTAAAATGGCCGTGCACAATATTTTCACGTGAAGAAACAACAACAACAACAAGCCTTTATCCCACTAAGTGGGGTCGGCTACATGGATTGCAAGACGCCATTGTGCTTTATCATTTATTAAGCTTTTAGAAATATTATTAATTAAGAAATCACGTTCAACAACTTCCAAAAGTGTTCTCTTAGGCCTTCCTCTACCTCTCTTAATCGGACTCAAAGTTATATGTTCCACTCTTCTCACTGGTGCCTCCCTCGGTCTTCTTTGTACATGCCCAAACCATCTCAACCGATTTTCTACCATTTTTTCCTCAATAGGTGCCACCCTCACTTTTTCACGTATGTGCTCATTTCAAATTTTATCTTTACGTGTATGTCCACACATCCATCGTAACATTCTCATCTCTGCTACTCCAACTTTATGCTCTTGCTGTCCCGTTAGAGCCCAGCCTTCACTACTATATAACATTGCCGGTCTGATAGCAGTACGATAAAACTTTCCTTTAAGTTTATTAGGCACCTTACGGTCACAAATAACTCCTTTAGCTTTTCTCCAATTAAACCACCTAGCTTGAATTCTATGTGAAATATCTCCACTGATTTCGCCATCATTTTGAATAATGGCTCCCAAATATCTAAACTTTTCCACTTGAGGTATAATTTGATCTCCCAATTTCACTTCCAAATTATTTTCGAATAGTCATTTACCAAATTTACAATATAAATATTCCGTCTTACTTCTACTCAGACGAAAACCTTTCGACTCCAATGTCCTCCTCCATAGCTCAAGTTTGCAATAAACCTCTTCTCTTGTCTCTGCTATAAGAACTATATCATCCGCGAAGAGCATACATTTCGGGATTTCCTCTTGAATATGTTCCGTCAAAACATTTAAAATCAAGTTGAACAAATAAGGGCTCAGAGATGATCCCTGATGTAGTCCAATCTTTATAGGAAAATCCTTTGTTTGACCACTAGGCGTTCTTATACTAGTTTTTACCCCCTCATACATATCTTGTATGGCTTTAATATAAGCAATCCATACTCCCTTTTTTTCCAACGCTTTCTAAAGCACTTCTCTTGGTATACGGTCATAAGCTTTTTCCAAATCAATAAAAACCATGTGTAGATCTTTATCTTTACAACGATACTTTTCCATTAATCCCCTTAGTAGATAAATCGCCTCTGTAGTTGATCTACCTGGCATAAAACTAAATTGATTCTCAGAAATACTTGTCTCCAATCTCAACCTGTGCTCAATTACTTTCTCCCACAATTTCATTGTGTGGCTCATGAGTTTAATCCCTCTATAGTTAGTACAATTCTGAATATCTCCTTTATTTTTATAAATAGGAATTAATGTACTTCTCCTCCACTCATCAGGCATTTTCTTGGACCGTAAAATCACATTAAATAACTTAGTTAACCATCTCACCCCTTCTTTACCTAAACATTTCCACGCTTCGATAGATATACAATCACATCCGTTGGCTCTACCATTTGCCATTTTCTTAAGAGCTTCCTTTACTTCCTTATTACGTATTTTTCGATAGAATGACAAATTTTGTTCTCCTTCACCAGTTACTAAATCCTCTAAGTTACTAGATGAATCCTCTCCATCATTGAAAAGTTTAGAAAAATAAGTCTCCCATCTATTTTTAATTTCATCATCAGTAACTAAAATTCTTCCCTCTTCATCCTTAATACACCTTACCTGTTTTAGATCTCTTGATTTTCTTTCCCTACTCTTGGCAATCTTATAAATATTTTGCTCTCCTTCCTTCGTCTCAAGGTTCTTATAAAATTCTTCAAAAGCTTTAGAACGAGCTTCACCCACAGCTCTCTTAGTTTCCTTCTTAGCCATACGGTACCTCTCCCAATTTTCCTCATTGTTACACAAATGTATGGCTTTAAAACAGTTTTTCTTATACTTGATTTTGTCCTGTACACTATTATTCCACCACCAAGACTCCTTATCTCTCGGACTAGAACCTTTCGATTCTCCCAAAACTACTTTTGCAACCTCCCGTATCTTTTTTGCCATATCCTCCCATATGATGTTAGCACTTTCCTGAGAATCCTAAATTCCTTTATCCAAAAGATTTCGCTTGAAAATATTTTGCTTCTCACCTTTTAATTGCCACCACCTAATCCTTGGTGTTACTACTTGTCGACGTTTTTGGATTTTACTCATAATACACACATCAAGGACTAGGACCCTATGTTGTGTCGTTACAGCATCTCCGGGGATCACCTTACAATTTTTACAAAGTTTTCTATCTGTGTTCTTAACCAAAAGAAAATCAATCTGCGACCTTGAGGCTCCACTTTTGTAAGTGATGAGATGCTCATCTCTCTTCTTGAAACAAGTGTTGGCAATCTTAAAATCATACGCCAA